ATCGAGCAACCAGCCCACAAGCAAGGAAATATCCTCAACAAGAAGGAGCCGTTAATTGTCGTGGACGCACAGCAGCTCAGCGGTTGCACCCTATAAATACTACAACTCTGTGTACAAACTACTCGCTTCTGCTACTGTCTCTGGTGATGTGTTCGAGGGGAAATGGGAAACATCAAGGAAATAAAATTTTTGTCCCAGCGATCGTGTTTACTTCTTCTCAGTTACTTCCAAGTACTCACGCTTTTGCTTTTATCGACAATCATTATTATGCTAATAGCCAGTTGGTTCACTCACAAATGAGTTGGTTCGTAGCAGAGCCTTTGTACGGTCCCATGATTTCACCTTATATTCCAAAACATACATGATTCATTCTCCCCTTCACTTCCGATATTTGAATCATTTACTCCCCATTTTCTGCTTGGAAAGCTTCAGAGCGATTTGGATTTCGTGAAAGATTTAAACATCGAAATGTTAATTGCGACTGAGTTTGATGCGCCCAGACAGTCAGCGACTAGTTTACCAGTACATAATTAAGTAATGTCTAATCTGCTGAAAGTATTTACAGAAAATACGGAAATTGTTGATAAATTTAATAACCGTACCTTCTAGATAGTCAGTCCGTTGATTTCTCCAATTGTTTCACTCATTAATGGGCGATAACATGAATTGCAGTTTTAGGCGCGCTGATTGGTGCGACTTATAAAATCATTTTTGGTGGCCGTTGGCCTGGGTGGTTCTAAAATGAGTAGGAGGGTAGTTAGTTTAGTTAACCAGGGACTGACTTACTTGGATCCTGTTTATCGGGACACAACTTCAATAATTTTAGATAATAATGACTTCCGAGATCTGAGCTGCCTGGATTTTCTGCGTGACTTACAGCAGGTAAAAGTTCACGCATTTAACGCTTGTAGCTCTCCATCGCGAACAATAGAATTTGTGAGATGCAGAGTCTCTCCACCTTAAACAATCTTACCATTCTCAATTTGGCTTATAATGACATTACTTTTATTGATGGTAGCTTCGAGGTTTCTCGTGTCAACTTTAGGTCTATCCTCCTTGACCCGATTAACATGGCTTAACTTGAGCGGAAACCGGATTCAGGTTCATTTTATCTTCTGAATAAACTTTTAAGAGGATCGATGGACTTTGCAAGAACCTGTCACTGAAACATCTGGACCTTTCCGAAAATAAAATAGCTGATCTAGGAGATCTCTCGACTTTGAGGAAGCTCAAGGCAGTCCTTTTTATTTTCTTAATTTTTGTCTGTTTCCAGACTCTCCTCTTACACTGTAACAATATATCTTCCCTGGATACGGCATCACACTATCTTCCAAGTCAATTATGTATTTTATCCCTCGCCGAAAACCAGTTAAATTCCTACACACAGGTAAATATATGTGATGAACTTCAGTATATCGATCTCAGCTGGCATATTTAGCCCACTTGGAGTTCCTTATCCAGTTCTCAATCCAAGGAAACCCTTGTACGCTCACCGCGTATCCTTTGCGCCCTTTTATGTGTAACCTTGTGTACATACTGTGCGTGAATTCATTTTTGCGCGCACAGTTGTACTGGAGTTTTCAATTTATTTCTATAAGCAGTAGTGTAGTAGCACACTGATCCACTGATCCTATCTCGGCCATTACAGTGGTTTCTCAGTTTCTACTAATCGTCCCCTAACTACTTAGCTTCCCGAAATCATTCCACTGCCTTTGCACAATCATATAATGGCGCATTTGCAAACAACGCATACTAATAATTAAACTTGGAATCAAATAGCTAAGATTAGAAATCATCATCAACAGTTAATAGTTATATGACATGAAGTCTTCCCATGTATATGTTCCCAGTTTTAAATTATACTACTGTTAGGATAATACCAATTTTGTTCAAATATTCAATTTTTTAACTTAACGAACGCAATTGTACAGACAGATGAACCACAGAGCCTATGTCTTGAGCTGGTTTCCCGGTCTGCAAATACTTGATGGCGTGGAGCCCACCCAACAAGAGAGGCAAGTCAACTTTGATTTGCTGGTTCCTATTGCTAAGGTCATTTTGCTTGGTGCAAGCACTGGCCTACGAGGCATACTACCACTCCTATAACAAGCTCCGGTCTTTTTATTTATTTTTCCATTTTTCGTGCAGACGTTTAGGTGAGTGGCTATGGAATAGCGGAGCTTCCCAGAGCTTCGGGCCTTCAGATGATGATCGCCTCTCCAACTACCTCCAAGATCTAGATAGACAGGTAAAGTTTATTATCTTTTCTCCACACTAAAAAAAACAATACTTAAGAAATAACCGAGGCCTCCTTCCTTGTTATGTTCTTAGCCTTACGATGACCGATGTGGACCTTCATATGCACCCCAACGTGATCTCCACCATCACGCCTGGGAACACCAGGAAGTTCAGGTCAATGGTCACAACCATCAGGCGTACGATCCGACGCACCAACCTTGGCTTTTAGAACCGCAAAAACCTAGCGTCAAAGGTTGGTCACTGATATTTTTCGTTGTCTTTATTGCTTTGGATAGCAGATGCTTACACTGGATTCTCTTCCCTTTTAAGCCAGGAGTACGGCAAGTTCGCGAGCGGGCGTAAGTTAGCCCCTTTGAAACCTTAAATAGTGTGAGCTGTGGCTGACTGGCTGGCGTTAGTACTGTTTCTTCTTGTTTTGCTCGTACCTTAGACGACTCCCGAAAACGGCATCAACAGAGTCTTGCATACAGCCGATGGCAACTCGGTCTGTCCTGACCGGCAACAGGCCTTTCGGGAGCAATCTAAGATTCCAATTCATGCCTCATCCAATAGCCCACCCCAGTATCATCGCGTTTTTGGTTCTTCCTCACTGGCTACCTCCGCAGGCTCTCTCATGTGAGTTTCTACCCCCTCCTTAATTTATTCTGTACACTTAACTTTCTCTCTAAATGAAAGAGCGCACCCCACGCAGTATAATGTTCCTTGTTCTAAGAAGACTGAATTTTTTTCACGATGCATATTTTTGATGCCCGACCGATTTTCATGACCGTTCTGTCGTTGTATTCGTTAGATTGCACGTACTTTTGACCTGCAGATCTTGAGGTGTGTGTGTATCGTAGCCCTTGTTGTTTCAAGAATCCCCGCCGGAATCCCAATTGGTTGGAGTTTGAAGACGGATAAAAGCCGCGACCTTACCCGGCTTGAGCCAAAGGTCCACAGGGGTGAGTTGGGTGCTTGGCTGGGAACTGCAGGCGAAAAGATATTGACAGTTAATGTGGGGAGAAGCCGCAACCGGGACAGCTTTCGGATGTGGAGAAGTCGAGCCGGTGTTGGTTCTGGCGAAAGAGTATTGAGTAGCCACTACGGAGTTGAGTCAAAGTACAGCGAGTGACTCCCGGGAGTTGTTCAGAAAACTGCAGCATCCTTTCACCATCATCGGCTCGAGAGCCAAGCCGAAATTGACCAAGAAGGTGGCTGTTTGACGGGTCACCGGGCCCGTTCCCCGGCGACAATTAATAAATCACGGCGAGGAAGTCTTTCAACTAGCACCTGCAGCTGCAAGTAGAAATTTTCTTTATCTTGCTGTTCGGCCACTGATATTGGTGCATACACAGAGACGACCGAGATGTTCGTAAAATGGCCCTTTAGTCGAACATAAACCATTCGGTCGTTGACTGGTTCCCATGCCAGTAGCGCACGGTTTGCTTGCTC